CCCCAACAATCGGGTGACCGGACCACGGTTTGGTGGACTGGGGATTGGCAAGGCCAAGGACTGCCCTGGCTGGCAGTTAGACCGACTGGCGCTTGACAACCGGCTGGTGCGCAACCGTCAATTGACCGACTGGCGGATGACCCGGTACCATATTTTGATGTATATTTGACTGTTCAGTTTCACTTTTGACCATGTGCTTGTCTTTGTGTTGCAGGCAAACCATATCATCAATATTTTAATTACACACATGCTTGATCAAATCTTGAAGAGCACTTAAGCTTATTTTCTGACAGAAACTGTGAATAAATGTGTGAACAGCAAATTCTTGGGAGTTTGTTGTATTTTCCATACTAGTTAGTTTTTGGCAGAAAGTGAGCAGCAACTTTGTGTGGGTCTTGTCCATACTACTTTTTAACTGGTGTCCCTGGTCCTCTGGTCTGAACAAACTTGACCTGACGACTTCCACCATCATCCATTCAACTCAGGTGCATACTCAGTGACCTAGCTGAGGGCACCCAACTCTAAAATTTGGAGTTACTTGACCATTAGCTTACAATTGTTGGTAGTCTCTCATTCTAGGCCCAACAAGTAGGTACAAATTACAGGCAACTAATGCGTAAAGTATGAAATTTGTTTTAGGCAAATCAATTAATTTCAATTGCAAGAATTCATGAGAGAAACTTGGAGGATGAAGAGAGAATCATTATCTGTCTGCCCCTCCAATCATTTACCTTCAGTATGAACTGTCTAATAACATTGATTCTTTCTATGATGCATGGAACCCATACTTGATCCTGTGTTTGGAAGACACATTCAGAAATTGACCAGTGGAAACTTGTGTGCAATATGTGTCAACATCTTTCCTCAAGGCGAAATCAGTAAATGTCATTGCCAGGGCATGTTCAGAGGAAAAGGACTTCTGACAAGTCATTTTCTGCATCAATGTTTTTCAAGAATTATAAACTAAAATCAAGAGGATTTTTTGAATTGTTGACTCTTTCAGAATATTTTCATTGTTTTCAACTAAATGACAAAATTCACTTCTCACCTCCAGATTCTGTGGTGTCGTCTGTGGCTTTTCCATCATCATAGGTACCACCATCTGATGAATGTGCTGGGAACAAAATCACATTGATTCATACAGATTGAACAGACTTTTCAAAATATAAGTCTTTCAATTTTGAAATATTTCAGTATTATTTTTCAGCTGTATTTTGCTTTTGACTTGGAATTTGAGGAATGTAGATTACTGTTCTATCAAAAATCTTGGATTATTGAATCATTGTTCCCAAAATGGTAAGTCATTCAATGACATTTAAACATTGTCTCATTCACCTTGAGAAATTGTTGGTTCAGCAGATGAATTGCTCTCATCCATGGTGGAACCATCAGTTGAGCCTGTGAAAGATATATTCCCACAATTAACAATTGGAAACTTTGTAAGGTGGGGATTTCTATTCACAGATATTCATTTTGGGAAGAGGAGAGATCAATAAATTTCAATTGCAAAAAATGATGAGAGAAAATTAATGGTTTGAAAGATAATCACAATCAAGATGTCCCTATGATCATTTACCTCCAGTATGAACTATTTCCTTAGATTGACCCTTTTATGTGTGGAACCACTACTTGATTCTGTGGAAGACATATTCACACATTTGACCAATTGAAACTCATGTGAAATGTGTGTAAAAAGCTTTGCTTAAGGCAAAATCAGTAAATTTTGAGGCCAAGGCATGTTCAGAGTAAAAAGACATGTACTTCTCTGCACTTGAGATTTTCAGGAAATCAAAATTAAAATCAAGAGGATTATTGGAACAGAAAACCATAGAACATTTTTCATTTTTTAAACTGACTGCCCACATTCACTTCTCACCTCCAGATTCTGTGGTGTCATCAGTGGCTTTGCCATCATCATAGGTACCACCATCTGATGAATGTCCTGGAAAGAAAATCACTTTGATTCATGTAGAACAGAACTTTGTATGGTATGAGTGTCTAAGTTTTGAAAAGTGACATTTCTTTCATCTTCATTTTTTAGACTTGGAATTTCACATATGTAGATGACTGCTCTAACAAAAATCATGGATTATTGAATCTTTGTTCCCAATATGGTATATCATTCAATAACTTTCATTTGAACATTGCCTTTTTTACCTTGAGACATTGTTGGTTCAACAGATGAATTGCCTCCATCAATGGTGGAGCCATGAGTTGAACCTATGGAAGATATATTCCCACAATTAAAAAATTGAAAAAAAATGTGTAGGGTGGGGATTCATATTTACAGATATTCATTTTGCGCAGAGGTGAGATAGAGCAATTTAAATTGCAAGAAATTATGAGAGAAAATTTAGCATCAGAAAGAGAATCATGATCAGTCTGCAGCTGTGATCCTTGGCCTATAGTGTGAACTGTTCAATTATATTGAACCCCTCTATGATGTTTGGAACCATTGGTTGAATGTATGGAAGCCATATTCATACAATTTACCAGTGGAAACTTATGTAGAAAGTGTGTCATAATCTTTGCTCAAGGTTAACTCAGATATCAATGCTTAGGCATGTTCAGAGGAAAAGACTTGTGAAATATCATTATCAACACTGAAGTTATTCAAGAAGCAAAAATGTTAATCAAGGATTATTTGAATAGTCGACTCTTTAAGAATTTTCATTGTTTTCAACTAAATGACAAAATTCACTTCTCACCTCCAGATTCTGTGGTGTCGTCTGTGGCTTTTCCATCATCATAGGTACCACCATCTGATGAATGTGCTGGGAACAAAATCACATTGATTCATACAGATTGAACAGACTTTTCAAAATATAAGTCTTTCAATTTTGAAATATTTCAGTATTATTTTTCAGCTGTATTTTGCTTTTGACTTGGAATTTGAGGAATGTAGATTACTGTTCTATCAAAAATCTTGGATTATTGAATCATTGTTCCCAAAATGGTAAGTCATTCAATGACATTTAAACATTGTCTCATTCACCTTGAGAAATTGTTGGTTCAGCAGATGAATTACCCTCATCCATGGTGGAACCAACAGTTGAGCCTGTGAAAGATATATTCCCACATAATTGTTAACCTTTGAAACATTCCACCCCTAAAGATAAGTGTCTATAAGTAAAACCCTTCTCCTCTCTAGTTATTTAAAGTTAACGTTTTTTACTACTCTCTTTTAATTACCAAACTTTCTATTAGTCAATCAAGATGTCCCTCTGATCATTTACCTCCAGTATGAACTATTTCCTGAGATTGACCCTTTTTTATGTGTGGAACCAGTACTTGATTCTGTGGAAGACATATTCACACATTTGACCAATTGAAACTCATGTGAAATGTGTGTAAAAGTCTTTGCTCAAGGTAAACTCAGAGTTCAATGCTTAGGTATGTTTAGAAGGAAAATTCTTGTGAAATAACATTATCAAAACTAAAGTTATTCAAGATGTAAAAATTAAAATCAAGAGGATTATTTGAAAAGTGGACCCTTGATTAAATTTCAATTTTTCAAACTAATTGAACACATTCAATTCTCACCTCCAGCTTCTGTGGTGTCTTCAGTGGCTTTGCCATCATCATAGGTACCACCATCTGATGAATGTGCTGGAAATAAAATCACATTGATTCATATACAGAACAGAGCTTTGCATGATACAAGTTTAAATGCTTTGAAATATGTCATTATTGTTTTTGAGCTGAATTTTGTTTAAGACTTCGAATTTGACACATCTAGATGACGGCTCCAACAAAAATCTTGGATTATTTACTCATTGTTCTCAATATCAGAAATCATTCAATAACATTTGAACATTGTTTTCTTTACCCTCATACATGGTGGAGCCATGAGTTGAGCCTACAAAGGTATATTCACAGAATTCACAAATTACAACTGATGTGCAAGGAGGGGATTTATATTAAAAGATATTCATTTGGGACAGAGGAGAGATCAATCAATTTAAATTGCCAGAAATGATGCACTTGAGATGAGAGAAAATAATGGTTGCAAAGAGAATCATGATCAAGCTGTCTCTCTGATCATTTACCTTCAGTATGAACTAATTACTGAGATTCACCGTTTCTATGATGTGTGGAATCACTAGTTGAATCTGTGGAAGACATATTCCCAAAACTGTCCAGAGGAAACTCATGTGGAATGTGTGTAAAAATCTTTGCTGAAGGCAAAATCAGTAAATTTCAATGCTAAGGTATTTTTGGAGGAAAAAGACTTTTAATGTGTCATTCTCTGCACTTGAGTTTTTCAAAAAGTAAAAATGGAAACCAGGAGAATTTTTTGAACAGTTTTCTCTCAAAGAATTACTTTTTTTCAATGGCCAAATTCACTTCTCACCTCCAGATTCTGTGGTGTCATCAGTGGCTTTCCCATCATCATAGGTACCACCATCTGATGAATGTGCTGGGAAGAAAATCACATTGATTCAGCTTTGTATGATATAAGTGTATTAAAAAGTGTCATTCATTTCAGCTCCATTTTTTTTACACCTAGAATTTCACAAATGAAGAGTACTGCTCCAACAAAAATATTTGATTATTGAATCATTGTTCTTAATACAGTAAATCATTGCATACCATTAAGTTGAACATTGCCTTCTTTACCTTGAGATATTGTTGGTTCAATAGATGAATTGCACTCATATGTGGTGGAACCATGTGTTGAAACTGTGGAAGATATACTTCCACAATTCACAAATGGCATGTGATGTTCAAGGTGATGATTTCTATTTAAAGCTATTCATTTTGGGCAGAGGTGAGATCAATCAATTAAAATTGCAAGAAATGATGAGAGAAAATTAATGGTTGGAAAGCAAATCTTGATCAGTCTGTCCCTGTGATCCTTTACCTTCAGTATCAACTCTTTATTGAAATTGAACCTTTCTATGATGTGTGGAAGCACTGGTTGAATTTGTGGATGCCATATTCACACAATTGACCAGTGAAAACCCATGTGGAATGTGTGTTATAATCTTTGCTCAAGGTAAAATCAGATTTCAATGCTTAGGCATGTTTAGAGAGAAAAATACTTGTGAAATATCATTATCAGCACTACAATTATGCAAGTAGCAAAAATAAAATGAAGAGGAATATTTGAACAGTGGATTCTTGGATAAATTTCATTTTTCAAACTAAATGACCAAATTCACTTCTCACCTCTAGATTCTGTGGTGTCATCAGTTGCTTTGCCATCATCATAGGTACCACCATCTGATGAAAGTGCAGGGAAAATAATCATGGTAATTCAGACAACACATTGCTTTGCTTGATATTGGTGGGCAAGTTTTGAAATGTGCAATTATTCATTTCAGCTGAACTTTGGTTGGGATCCTTCTTTTCTTCATGTTGATTCCATCATACAGCAACGTATCATGAATAATTTGCGAGGAGTTCTGACTATATTTTGGTAAATATTTGTACGAGCTTTCTTGGCCATTCTATTGTCAAAATGTAATTTTTTTGTGAGAATAATTTCAAATTTTTCCAGAATTTAGTGATGTTCAAACGTATATAAGCGCATTGATCCAAAAATATGAAGAGGCAAAAAACGTAGCCCAACTTGAAATTAAGCTTATTTTATATACTGTACAGACTAAGTTGTTGCAGCGATAGAATGTTTTCGTGATTTTGATTATTTTATGTTCCATTCCATAAATTATAGCAAGAAAACCGTTTGATATAATTCCTCGAATGTGTCCAGGGAAGAACCTGGATTATAATTCGTCGCTCAAAGCATGATTTTTCTATAGTAGTATTTTTTCAATATTGATGCAGGAATGAAACAAATAAGTTTTCGAGCACATTCTTCAGGATAGCTTTATGAGATTTCTGAGCATATCCAGAGATTTTATTCGTCGATACAAGGATCAACTATTAATATAAAATCCCAACTGAGGCTGCATGGAATGTCTCATGAATTGATTCTTGTTAATAAATCACTCGTTAGATCCAAGTTGTACTGCTCTGATTACTCTGAAGCACCTGTAATCTTTCAAAGAGACGAGAAGTAAAAACGATTTTTCTAACCTGACACCCCGTTGGAGTACGAAGTGGAAGATTGTGCGCTTGTCGAAGGTAATCCGTTTGGATTGGACAGGAGGATGTAGGCCCATGCCAATTGCAGCAGAAACATTTGAAGGAACCAATCCATAACCGGTATGAACAGATCAGGCTGTTTCCATTCAAAAGCACTACTAGCAGTTCGTCTTCAAAAACCGTGAATATTCAACGTAATATGAAGAGGCAAAAAACGTAGCCCAACTTGAAATTAAGCTTATTTTATATACTGTACAGACTAAGTTGTTGCAGCGATAGAATGTTTTCGTGATTTTGATTATTTTATGTTCCATTCCATAAATTTTAGCAAGAAAACCGTTTGATATAATTCCTCGAATGTGTCCAGGGAAGAACCTGGATTATAATGCGTCGCTCAAAGCATGATTTTTGTACAGTAATATTTTTTCAAAATTGATGCAGGAATGAAACAAATAAGTTTTCGAGCACATTCCTCATGATAGCTTTATGAGATTTCTGAGCATATTCAGAGATTTTATTCGTCCATGTAAGGATCAACTATTAATATAAAATCCCAACTGAGGCTGCATGGAAAATCTCATTAATTGATTCTTGTTAATAAATCACTCGTTAGATCCAAGTTGTACTGCTCTGATTACTCTGAAGCACCTGTAATCTTTCAAAGAAACGAGAAGTAAAAACGAGTTTTCTAACCTGACACCCCGTTGGAGTACGAAGTGGAAGATTGTGCGCTTGTCGAGGGTAATCCGTTTGGATTGGACAGGAGGATGATCCGGGTACGGTTAACGTCGTCTTTGTAAACTTCCTTGGTTAGGTATTGGCCATACTTGTCTAGTCCGACAAAGGTAAGTTTTCGTGATGATCGTCAAGCAGAAGTTTTTGGCACTTATAAGTTGCACCGGACATGAAACGTCTACAAGTTTGCTCTACTTCAATACTGATACTGAATTGGTTGTTGCACTGATTTTTTCCTAGATTTCAACGACACTGACTGTTCCCCAAGCTTCAGCGCTACGTGTGCTGGAACGTGTCACAGTCAGCTACTTGACGTCAAGATTCCGAGTACTGAAGAAACGAAGTTACTTCTGTTCCACGTGGCACCCCAACAGAGCAAATTGGTTTCAGCAGGAAACAGTTTTGTAAGTTAAACGAACTTTCCTTCCACGGAACGATTCTTCAGTTCAAAAAAGCTGTGCCCCAGCAATTCATCGCTGGAATGTAACGTGACAAAATCATGTTACATTGTGACTATTGAATGACCAAGAGTGCTCGCACCAATATTGAACAAAATACATTCAGAACACCTTGAAAATTATTCATGATCCGTTGAGCATACAGTATATTGTCATTTGAAAAAAAAGCGCTTTGTCTGATTTAAAATGCGTAAAAAGCATATGCTAACTCATCCTCATCTGCGTTCAGACTGACCAGCACTGCCTCTCCTGTTGCTCCGCCAGTTGCCCAGTAGCCTCTGTCTCCATTCGTCCAGTCTTGAATCGTCTGTCTCCCTTTCGAGATTTTCGTACCTACCGAAATTTTGGGACCCTCACAAGATTCTTGGGCCTATAAGATTTTTGGCCGCACGGGGTTCTTGGGCCACGGGATTTTCTGCTGCACCCATTAATGTGCATATAGCACGACAGGAATGTTTCTTTTCCCCTGAAGGAAATTGGGATTTAGACTGTACTCAAGAATTATATTTACTTGCAGGCAGGGAGGCATGCGGGTATTCAGAAATTGAAAGAAAAAAAACTAAGTAATCATTCAGAATCGGAAATCAAGATGCTTTCGCTTGGAAATTCACGGCGAAACGCGTTCAAGCGCTAAATTTAGAACTTCAATAATACTGTACTGCAAATTTGAACGATTCCTCTGCATGTCAGGCGTTTTTCCGACGATTATTCCCGCACTTTGTCGTGCCTTCCATAGATGTAGCATTGCACCCAGATTTACGTCCAAGAGGTTGGCTCGGCCTTTGCGCACGTGAATACGGTAGTACAGTAGAATATTTTAAAATTTTGTTTCTCCATACCAGTTTGTAACGGTGTCCCCGGGACACAGAAGCCCCGCCGTACCCGCGCACAGCTGAAACGAAGGCCCGGAACTTTTTTCGCATCTCATCCCTTGAAGGGACTTGTCCATACAATTGGCAACATGATCCATGATGCAAGGATTCACATAAATGTTTCCGTCCGCAGCACAAATTGGATGGAATTTGTGAAGACACTGAGGAGGTGGACAATCTGCAAAAATTTGGAACTGAGTAGAACCTCGTTGTTGATCATCCGGACTTTGCCAAACCATGCAATTTAATTATAAAATCCAAATTTCAATTAAATGAGAAACAAAGGGCCCAGAGTTTAATTTTTTTTGCCGCTTAATAACCCTTAGATCGACTTGCATTTCGTGTGGGAATGGATTCGAAGTCATGATTAAAATATCAGAATGAAAAAGATTCAAAAATGTAACTGACAAGATAAAACGCACAACAACAAAAAACCGAGCAGCTTCGTTTCACCGACTTTTGACGAAAGTTTTCTGAAAGAAACTGGAAGATTTGATGCTCGATCTTCGAGATTTGAGGGAATGTTTTTTTAAGTCAGGTGAATTTAGTTGTTATGCTCAAAAAATGCCACATTTTCCAGGTCATTCGATGATCCGAATGAAGGCACACGGTCATCAGACCGGATTTAAGAGCATCTATTGTATAGCTACTGCAAATGTTTTCAGTTTCCCTTCTCAGTGCACAGTCCTTGAATAATATTAATCACTACGCTGTTTCCAGTGAGTTTTTAACGGTGAGTAAGTTCGGGGCTTTCGTTACAGCTGTGGGCGGGTACGGCGGGGATTTCGTGTCAGGGCTTTTGTTGGCCGAGGTTTCCGTGTCCCGGGATTTTGTCGCACGGGGATAGTGACCGTTTCCCCTCCATACTGTTCTCGTCTCAATTTCAAGCGAAACTTTGTTGCACTGCTGTACTTGAAAACTTAAAGTTTCAAAGGCATGAAAATACTTTTAATTGACTGGAATATGGGGATCACCTTGACTTAAAATCGGTGTACGATGCGACAGATAACCTGATTTGATTTGCTATTGCACGATCTTTAAAACCGTGAGAAAAAGCTGGGATGCATTCATCAGTTCAGTATTAAAAGGAATCAAGTACTTGGTGAAAATGGCTCCATGATAAAATCCCGTAGGATAAAAAATCCCGCGGCCCGAAAATCCCGTGAGGCCGATAATCCCGTGAGTCAAAAAATCTTGCGGAGTCCGAAAATCCCATAGGTACAAAAATCCCGTAAACAACAAAATTGTGATATTATCTCTAAGTTTTCTTTCCAACTGCCTGGGAGGAATGCGAATATGGTGGATTATGTAATGGGGCAAGTGCAAGGGGTTTCTTTCCAAGGTTTAAGAATTACCTTTGTCAATAGAGCCTCAACTTCACTTCCTCACCTTTCTCCTGAGAAAAATATAACCTTCATTTGGATCAAGACTTCCTCCCTGTATTTTTTGTGTGTGTAAATTTTTCACTTTTCCAATTATTTTCAGGTCTACTTTGCCCTCAAAAAATGAATTTTTGCATTAAAAAAAACCTCTTTTGATGTCTACGTATATATGCTGATGGTATGTAAATAATTTCTAAATAATCAAATAAGCCTAAATGCAGTTATATAAGTATATTTCATCTTGTCAAACTTCAATTTCAATGTACTGTATAGCACATGATAGAGCATTCAATTTTTTTTTAATTCAACGAACCATTAAACTTAACAAGATTCCCACCCAAAGGCCACAGAAGAATTAACGCAGTTGGAGAAACTGAAGAGATAATATCACAATTTTTTAGTATATGGGATTTTCGTACCTACGGGATTTTCGGACCCCGCAAGATTTTTGGCCTACGGGATTATTGGACTCACGGGATTTTCGGGCCGCGGGATTTTTTCTCCTACGAGATTTTCTCCTGCACCCGGTGAAAATACCAGAGAACAGGTCCAAGATTTCAAATACTTTTTAATAATCCTGGACAAGAACCAATACACAACTTGATGAATAAACAACCACATTCAACGCCAATGACGCAAAAACCAGCAATAGCAAAAAATAATGGAGAAAAGAAACTTGGGCGATAACTCGAATGGCACAACGAAATATATGCTTAATCCAACAAACGCATGAAGACATCAATAAAATTAAATAGTGTAGACCTTGCAAAAAAAAGATGACATTATCCGTGAAAACATAAAGAGAACGTTGATTTCACTCCAGTAAGTAGTTTTCCAGTAGTTTTTTACACCATTCATCAACACGCGTAAGGTTATTTATAATCTTATCTTAATGAGCAGAACTGCCTTGCATAACTTGAAAGACATGCGACTCGTTTTTTCCTCATGTGCAGCATTTCGAATCAGGGGAAACGTGATTCAAATTAGATCAGCTCAACGTCACTAGAAGAATTTCTATCGGATCCTCCTCCTCCATGATTCACAAACAAGCAGGCAAAAAATAATAAAAAAGCGTCGCACCGATTTCGTCAAGGCATGCAGAACGAGTCCTTGAATTGCCCCTTTCTTTTTGCATTACCTTGAAAACAGGGTTAATACCAGGCATAACGTGGAAACCCGTTGACGCGCACGGTTCCAAGAATCTCGCTAATCTCGCGAAAAGTTCTCATTTCAGACCAGGTCAGAGCCCAGCAGTTGTCGGCATCACAACGCATTCGACCCCTCGTAATGGCATGACTCACATCATGAGTGACGATGGTAAAATTGCAAAATGTCCCTCAATTTGATTCTGGAATCTTTCCTACTCGGAAGTGTTCACCTTGGTATCAGTTGTAGACGCTATCGCTTCATTTTTTCTTTCTTTCGTGCATTACATGTGTACAGAGTATAGTATAGAGTAAAGTTTGACGGTGGAGAGGAATCCCAGATTGAAGGAGCAGAATGCATTGAGCCTTGCTGGAATTTGGTGATATGCCATTGAAGCTTCTGTGGATTCCCCGCGTTGAGTAAATGCAAAAATACGTCGGAAAGTGTAGTGTGTGTCGTGAACCCTTTTTGAAGGTGTATGGGTGCAATGGGGAAATCCCACGAACCCGGGTGGAATTCGCGCGTATATATATTAAACTGGATCCGAGAACTTCTGCGTTGCGGCAAGCGTCAGAAAGGGCTTTACTCACAGATCGCGTCGGATGCTTGGGATAATGAAAAGATGTGATCGTATTACTGTATACCAATATTCTTGAGTGAAAATGGATCCGATTTTGACCAATTGGCAGTCTCGAAAGTTGGGTTTTTTTTTTTTTTTTTCTCGGTGACCGGTCTTCAAAGTGTTCTGTGGCTGGAGGTGCTGTACTCTTATTTTCAAGATGCAAGCCTTGAAAAAAAAGACAAACTGAAATGTATTTTGCAAAATCATCGATATACTTTTCAGGACGAAAAAAAAAAACACGATCGAATTGTCTTCTGCCCGAAGAAAATCGTTGTGTGTGGAGTTGTGAACGAACTGTGCATTCAGTAGAAAGCATCGAAGCCAAGGTGATTTTTTTCGGAACGATGGATCAGATAAATGGACAGAAGCACTTCTTCCAAGAGCAGGGATTCTCCCGACAGGTGAGTTATTCGCTTTATGATGGAATGCGTCGAGTAAAGTGAAAATGGAAATATTTTTTCTTCTTTTTATCAAACGGGGAATTTCACCGTATGTAACATGATTGAATAAAAATGAATAAAACTCTAAATCACGCAGTAGTTGATTTAACGTTTACAATTTTATCGCATGCAGGTTTTATGTGCAACAATCGGCTCGATGTGGGGATTGACGATAGGACCTGCGTTGGGATTTTCGTCAGTTGGTTTACCGATGTTCGATGACGACGAACACGCTCCTTTCATCTTGGACGAATCTGACAAATCTGTGTTCAGTGAGTACTTTATAGATGCATCGTCCTCGTCATTCTTCGAATTTCTTCGTTCCTTTCATTTTTTTTTTAATCCATCACTTTGGAACGAACGTTTTAAACTAGTGTTCCCTAACCCTTTTTGCGGACCGGCAAATTTCCAACACTTATTCTGCGGATTAGCAAATTTTGGCCAGAAATTTTTTTTTAGATTCAGAAGAATATTGTTTGAAAGACTCTATGGCAGGTAGAGTATTTTAAAAGTGACTGCTCTTAATTGCAAAAATGAAGTTAAGAACCAATGAAGCAGTTATTGTTGAATGTCTTTAAAAATGACTTCAAGACTTCGTGCTACTTTTGAAAATGTTATTATGCTAAAGAAAACTTTCTGCGGACCGGCACAAAACTTAGGTTCGGGAAAAATGTTTCAAACGGTATTTCGAGACTGGCACATTCCAATCTGACGCCAGGAATAGGGATCAGGGAGCTTATATGAGATCCAGGAATCCAAGACCCCTCAGAATTAGGATTACTGTAGCGAATTTATTGTTAACCAGCAAGTAACGGCACGCTCAAGGTTGACTCCTCAGGGAGGAGACTCGTCGAAGGAATTGTGCGAAGCTTTCTTTGGGGCCAATGGCCATTGAACAGCTGGAATTCCACTTCACAATAAACACCACAAAAGGTTCAGCATTCTATTCTAGGATCCGAATATTCACAATCCCGCACTCTAGGTCATACACTCATAATCAATCCCAGGATGTCTAGCTGAACGGAAAAATAACTTCATAGTTCAGCCCCAGGTTGTTCAACAACTTCCTGTTCAAAAATATTTTTGACAAATTACGGTCCGTAATTCTTGTTTTATTTTTATGTGAAGACTTCAACTCGAAAAAATTCTATGCCGACTCGCTGAAATTTTTTGAGAATACAGTATTAATCTTTTTTTTGCGTGGATCCGAAAACGGCTATGTTGCAAATGGCAATCTTACAAGGAGTCTCGATTTTCGCATTTCTCTTGGTAAAAATGAATCAAATTTTGACATTGAGTTTGCGCTCATTAGTCGTCTTTTGATGTAAAGGCAATTTCTGGTCCCAAGGCACTTTTCAGACTTTCTTTTCTTTAAACATTCAATGATCGTTGAATTACGCCATGGCTGTGTCGCTTAATTGCTCCAAGACATTACAGAAGAAATTTCCAAAGACCGTAAAATCCAACGACACAATTTTCTGGCCTCTCTTATCGCTTCCATCATCCACTTGACCAGAGGGATATCGATTGTTCTAAAAAAGAAAAAAAGGCCATTCTTAAAAATCCAGGAAATCGTAAAGGTGGAAAATACGACGACGCGCGGAAGTCAACATACACACTTAGCAATAGTTTGACATGCTTCCAAGAACTCGGAATAAAATATAAATTTCATTTTTTTTTTCTGTTGTTTTTGCTCAGCTAGTCTCCCATTCCTCGTGACCATCGTCGGCTCTGTGGTCGGCCGGTACATGACATCTCGTTTCGGACCCCGAATGCTGCTCGCTGCCCTGCTGCTACCCACAGCCGGCAGTTGGCTCATGATTGCATTCGGGCGCAAGGTGATCTGGTTCTTCGTTGCCCGGACAATCATGGGCCTGTGCGGTGGCATCGCCATGCCGATCGGTCAAATGTACCTGACGGACGTTTCGACGCCCGCGACCCGGGGTTTCATAGCGTCCACGGCCATGCTGTCGCAGCTTTTCTACACATTCGTCAACAGCGTCATAGCGTTGTTCTTGTCCTGGCACTGGCTTGCTGTCTGCAACGCTGTGCTGGTGGCGGCGCACATTCCGATGGCGCTGTTGCTCCCTGAATCGCCCACTTGGCTCCTGAGGAAGGCGTCGAGGGAACGAGCCAAGCATGCCTTGCAGGTGTGGTAAATTTTTTTTTGTGAATACGTCATGGACGCACATACAGTATTTACGGAGAAACTAAAAAATTACAAGCAATAAATTAGTAACTTGATGATATGAGAGTTGCCAAGTTTCACTCTCGAAGCGGACGTTGAAAAAAAAAAAAAGAATAGATTGAAACAGATGCTGGAAAAATTCTCATATCCCGAGTCTTCCGGGGTATTCCCAAATTTTCGCGATCACAATCGTTTATCGAGGGGCTGACGATTTCCGTGCGACGTCATATTTTCTTTCCAGCAAATAATAAGGAAAAATAAATTTTAAAAATTTGATAGCTCGCTAATATTTTTGTCTCAAGATTGTAAGAATTAAAATTCCACGGGAAAAATCGTTTGCATTTATTTGATCAAGTTGAAGACTCGTGCGAACGGCATCCCGTATCGAGACGCTTGAAGGATTTTTTTTTACTTCGACAACTGGGATATATTGCCCGACCCGAAAATTTTGCACAAGCCAGTGTAATAAATCAAGTAAGATTAGGAAATTGGCCTACATTTGAAATATAGCCTATGAGCTTGTATTTGATTCCACGTCTTGAAAATTTCGTGAAAATAACTCTAGCGCCATTTCTGACCATTCATTTCCCAATTTTTCTTATTTTTATTCATCCTAAACACCCCCAATCCCACATAACCCATAATAAAAAAAATTGGAAGATCGTCGGTGTTATGGAGATTTCTCGGCGAACGGACTTCCGATAATAAATGCAGGATGTGCAAAGTGGATACAGTAATTGAATCGTTCTTGATGAAATCTCATTTTATTTGCAGTTCGTCCGAGGCAAAGAGGAAGTTGAACAAGAGTTGAAAGACCTTGAGGTTCGGATAATACAATCCCGGCAGAATTCCGGTGGACTGTTTGACCTGTTCAAGTTGCATAATCTCAAGCCCGTCGTCGTGCTGTGCATCTTCATCTCTTTTCGCCAGTTCACCGGGGCTTTCGCCGTATTTTCGTACACAGTAGATATTTTTGCAAGCGTCGGTGGCGGACTGAGCTCCACTGTGTCCACTGTGATCGTCAATGCCGTGCAATTGACCATAAACCTGGCGTCCAACGGATTATCTGACAAATTCGGTCGCAAGAAGCTTCTCGTGTCCTCGGCTTTTCTCATGGGCGTTGCTCATCTTGCCTTCGGAAGTTACTATTATCAACAGGACAAGGTATTTTGTTTTTTGCTGTTCATATACTGCGATGCGAAATTTGGTTCCACGAGGAATGTTAGCAATTTTCAGTTTTGAGAATTATCGTCGAGAACTCGATGAATAAGCGGGGCGTTTTTCGGTTAAGTCGAAGGAATCGCTGGAATTCCGCGTTTTATTTTTCTTCGAAATTTGCGTCATAACTCATGAGGAATCAATTCTTCATGCGCATTACGAATCAAATATTGCTCCACTGCATTGCCTGCATAGTCAGTTCAACATGACCATGATTTACGCTGAATCAAAATCGTTAAAATGGTCAGAATTTGATAATAACTTCTCTCGGATCGAACTGCTTGTTCCCAATTTTTTGTTTACAGTAGATTTCAAAAATTGAGGTGAAAACCAAAGATTATTCACGGCAGATACTTCAACTTGTCATGATGTTCGCTAATACTGTAAAGGCAGATGACGTAAATGTTCCCCTAGGTTTTTTTCTTTTCCAGCTACGCAATCCAAGGCCGTATTTTTCTCTACAGTACTTTCAATTCTAGGAAAAGCGTAGCAAAATCTGAAGAAAAGTTTCGCCTTCAAGCTTTTTTGAGGGGATACTTTCCAAAAGCTTTTCCTTCGACGTTTGTATCATTTTTTTTGGAACTAGCGTTAAAAAAATGCTCTTCTCGTGCATTCCGGAGCTATGACACGATAAATCAGGTTTGAGATTGTAGAAATATTTCGTATTCCAACAGAATCCGGAAGCACTAGCAGCATTCGCATGGGTTCCTCTGGCGTCGTTGATCTTCTACTGCGTCGGGTTTTCCGCGGGTTTCGCTTCCGCACTCTACGTCCTCATGACCGAGTTGATACCACTGAGGGTCCGAAGCACGGCTTCTGCAGTCACATCCATACTCAACAACTTCCTGACATTCGTCGTGATTCAATACTATTATACGTGAGTCATTTCAATGCACCCGATTTTTAAAAGGTGCTAAATTTAACCTTGAACTGATATGAACTTTGGTGCGCTTTGCACCCAAAAATGAATGTAATATCCGGTCGATGAGTCAACATTTAAGAAAATCCTCCGATTACAAAATCATGAGTAAACGAGTCGATAGCAACAGCATTGCACAACATGCTCTCGTATCTCTCTCTATAAATATATGCTGTGGTTTTATGACACTATGAATGGGTATTAGAAGTCCACCGAGAAACTAATCTGTGCTGAAAACTCACATTATTTCAATTTAAAATTTACAAACCAAATTATAACTTCTCGAAAATATTCCCTCGCGAGATTCTCTCCAATTCGTGAGAGAAAGTTTCAGCGACGAGTCGTTTCTTATTCTTCGCTGTCGTAGAGGCTCACACTTGAAATTCTGTATTTGACATAAACTTTAGTCAGCTGAATATTCTAATTGCTAATTTTGTTCATTTGTTCGTTCCTTGAAATACTGTAGTATGAAGCATAACTTGACGGAAGCAGGACTGTTCTGGCTTTACGGAGGAGTCTGTCTGGTTGCCGGCGTGTACTGTATCGTTTTTCTTCCGGAAACGAGCGGGAAAAGTTTGGCAGAACTGGAAGCCACGTATGCCAAAAAGAAGAAACTGCCTGAGAGTGTCGTGTCCTTCAACGACTCCCTGACAACAACAAGTTCCGTACCTGTATTTGACATTGAAAAAGCTTCTCAAACCGTTGTTGGGAGTAGTGAGGCTCATAATAACCATATGTTTTGACAACGACGATGCCATAGACGAGAGGACATGAACGGGACGGAATACATTTTTAAACGGGGTTCGACGGTGGACTAAAACTATTTTTTATACCTCCGGATTTTTGTATGGATTTGCATCTGAAGATTGGTTGATAGAATTCTGCGTAATTTGATGGGAGCATGAATGTTTTTGTAGACGGAACGAAACTGATGGAGTTGCTGTGACAAAAATTCAGATACTTCGCGCGAAAATACTGTACTTCATCTGAATTCCGGTCGCTTTTATGTACAGAACGTATACTATTGCATTGCATTTTTCAGAGGTTGGACTAGAAAATTTACTGTACTCATATGTGACAAGAATGACCTATTTTTTATAGCTATTTGTGTATCGAAGAACAAGTTGGATTTGAACTGATGTTCAGATTTAGGCTTTAAATTCTGCCAGTTTTTCGGCATGACATCTCGTGAACTTGGAATACTTCCGCGACATTCGGAAAAGTCCAGCGATTCTATTTCTGTCCTTTCTTTCCGAAGCACGCGCATTTAACTGTGATTTTATTTCGAATGAAATGCAGTACGATTTTTCTATTCGCAAGTGCATTGGAAGTTTTGGCTTTGAGGTGCTTAAATCTAAGGACATCACGGAAATATTTCGAGTCATATGCATTTACACAATGATTCAGAAACAAAGGGATATTGTATTTTTCAAAAATCTAATTATATCAGTACAGTACTGTACTCGATAAAATAATGCGAACCCCGTTTTGATCCATTTGAAGGAAAAGTTCACCACTGGGTGAAATTTCTTGTGCGCGTCGCGACTTGATCGCAGTAGATGTCGCTTGAATTTTCCTATACACCAGCAGCAATGGTAATTTTATTTGCTGCACAATTTTTTAAATAAGTTTTGTCCCATGAGAAAGCTAAAGAAAATGACTGAAATTTCTATACTACATTTTAAGCACCAAAAATTTTTCTACATTTTTTTTTTACGCAGCATTCGCGAACTCCTTCCATTGAGAAGTGTGAAGAAATTTTCTATAGAGCCAGAAATGCGTTACATCCTCTTTCAGGTTGTGGAATACTTTTCAACCTTAGCAGTATGTAGACGAGCTAACGTATTTTGTATCATTACCAGATGAAACGAACAAATATAATTTTCCCATGCAATTCCTAGCTGAGACGGGCCTCTACTTTATTCACTTCATAGCAATAATAAGATGTCAAAAAGGGTCAGTTACGGTATAACTTCGTTATTCGGCAAAAATGTCCGCGTTTCGCTCACTTGGAAAGCTTGACATGAGCAACGCAACGCAGTTTTTGAACCATGCTAAATAAAGTATTGTTCTATTTGTTTTTCGTGATTCAATTGTCATACTGTACTTCATTCATAATAAAGGGTCTTCGAAGTTCCCAAAAAGGGTTATGCAGTTCTAATACATGGACTGTGTACAGGGATTATAGGGAGTGATTGCACGAAACGAGCACTGGATTCCAAGACATGCCTATACGACGTGGCCTAGATATTAGTGCAGTCAGAAAATGTTCTCGTCGACACCAGTGCTGGCAACCCCGACGTGGGAAAATGATCTCGACGATCAATTTTGTACCAAGTGACCCGGCAAATTCGGAGACAACAGCAACCGATTTATTACGACGGTCCACGGAAACAGGCCAATGAATACACAATGAAGGATTCATTGACTTTAGGTCGTTTGTGTGAGATTCTCGGTCATTCACCTTCACCTAAATCGAAGTACAGTTGACTCCCAGTTTCGAACACTTTCCGTAAGTTGGCATTGCGTAAGAAGAAGACAAAAATGCATAGTCACAGAAAAGAGTCTTCAAATGTTTTTTTAACAATAAAATGTACTCTGTATTATTGCATAAATATTCCATCGGAGTGGATTTGATTAGCCTTTTGCCAATTCCAAGTAATCCACGGGAGGAAAGAAGTGCAGTAAAGCAATTTCATTTTGAGCCGTCTTACCACTCGGAAAATCTTGAATTTCGAATTGAAATATTTCGACGTGAAATAAAAATTATCGCAATGTTTTTCAATCCTTATAACACTTACACGAGGGCGTATTGGAAACATATTTCTCCTCTAAATTTGAAACATCATGGAAGAAGATGCTCTATAGTGTTTGGGATAATTTAAAAAAGTACGTACCGTACATTATCCATATACTGTACTATTTGAACACCCAGATAAAGTCCGCCAATCGTTAATCCAGTCAAGCAAAATTTCACCTGCGAACCGTTCACAGGATTATGAATGGGTTTTATGATTTCAATCAAGTCCTTAGACACGTGGGATATATTTACGAGCGAAAAATGTGTATTCTGCTAAAGCTGCTAAATGGGATTTGGCTATAGTATATCTCCGATTAGGAAAATCGATCAACTTAGTCTTGCAGATAAGAAACTCGATCGGCGGGATTGTCAGCTGGTGAAAGGAGGTTCTGATGAATAACTTTCAGGTTTCGTAACATACAATTCACCACCGGGATTTTGTTCAAGTTATGTAATTGCTGGGAGCTGGTTCGAAATTAGCAGCTGATAAGGGCGTTAAGATACTTAACAGTGAACAGCAGCTCATACGTTTTAAATAATTCATCTGTTCAAAGCACTCAACAACGCATGAAAGTAAAAATATCTGGATTCAACGAAGAATTGTACGTGTCCTCAATCACCGTCCGTTATACAGGCGTACGTTCGTCGAAACACACCTCGATCGTTCATCAGGCATTCCTCCGAATCGGTTCCGGGAAAAGTTTGCATAGCCCGAATTCTTCTGTTGTAAACTGGAGGGTGATGATTCGACGAATATGGTAAATAATTTCCTGCTTGGGAGACACAGTTTCCCCTACGAGGTGGCTAGGATAAACAAAAACCGGGTCANTACGTGTCCTCAATCACCGTCCGTTATACAGGCGTACGTTCGTCGAAACACACCTCGATCGTTCATCAGGCATTCCTCCGAATCGGTTCCGGGAAAAGTTTGCATAGCCCGAATTCTTCTGTTGTAAACTGGAGGGTGATGATTCGACGAATATGGTAAATAATTTCCTGCTTGGGAGACACAGTTTCCCCTACGAGGTGGCTAGGATAAACAAAAACCGGGTCAATACGGATCAGGTGAAATCGGAGAAATTGTTCCGAGCATCACCTGCCTTTCACACTTACGAATCCAGGTCATCGTTCGAACTCGGAAAGGTATTTATTAAACATTGTGCAGTTGCTCAAGCGAGAACAACGAAGTATGAAAAAGATAAAAACTGGGGAGAAAGTAGATGGCTGAATCGCAGGCAACAGAAATTATTTGCTGGCCTTTTTTTTTTAGCTATTTTAAAAATCGTTCTCGAGATTAGTTTCCTTGGAAAATCATGATACTGGACTGAATTAAAGTTCTTTCATCAAAAAGGAAAGCAAGAAATCGACAAGCGGTCAATTCGATTCACTTATCCAGGCAAAAAAAAAAAAAAGCGTCGGTGCTGATGACCCAATAAGTTGAAATGGAAGGACTCATTTCTTTGAATTTAAGACTTAATGCAATTTTTATTCATGTTTGTTCACCATCAGAATGACCATTTTCAAATCTATTTCTAATTCTGACGTTAAATTGTCGCATCTCAAAAAGCACCCTTTTTCAGCGATTTTTACTACTGTATGATAATTAGCTTTATTCCGTTTCCGATAATTTATCTTCCCCACCCGTGATCATAATCTCAGTAAGAAACCAAAGCTCAGGAGTGGGTTACGGAATATTTAGTCTAAAGTACTCGGGTAGTTGCATTTATGATAACTACAGTACTATGAAGTGCTCTCGAAAATAAGAAAACATTTTCCAAACGCGATTCTTGGGAATATTGGCGAAGCGAAGGCTCAAACCTTATTTTGTA